TATTATAATTATACTTCTTATACTTGGTATTTTAAAATTATACATTATTAAAATGTAGGAAAAACGGAAAGTTTCTATGTATACATTTAAAGTTTTGAAGGCGATAAGTGTATGTATACATTTTTAAAACTTATAATGAAATTAAATTTTAATTACATTATCAAATTTTCAACATTTGAAAATCATGATTTGAATTGTGACACGAAATTTTATTATAAGTTCATTTGGGTAATGTTTTTCTCAATAGAATTTTTTTTCGAAAAAGTACGTGATTAATTGTTTAAAACCCAGACACTATTAAGGGCTACGATTTATGTGAAAACTTTCGTGTTTTCATAAAGAATATAACTAAAACATAGAGTACTCTCCGCTGACGTACTCATGTCCCTTACAAACGAATTTAAGTTATTCACATGAAACTTTTATTCTGGATCAAATGACACAAGGGAGATATAAATCATGTACACGACAACGTCTTTTATATATCAATGTGTAACTCTACCGAAACTTGAAAATAATCTCAAAAGAGGATTTACCTTTTTATTCTTCGTGACACATCTTGTCACGATTGAAGACTACTATGATAATGATACAGGCTAGCGTTTTACTTAAACATTTACTGTCAAAACTTTTTAACACACAAAAATCTGTACACATTTTACTTATGATATTAAGTTTAACATAATATGCATTGTTTAATTGAAACTAAATTTATATCATTACTTTGTTCCATTCTAAAGTCAAAAAGTATAATGTATGTTTATAGTACTGCGCTTATCATTTACCTTTATATTACAACTTGAAAATATTTTACTGTCGCACACTTTTAAAATATATGTTGTTATAATACATAACAACATTTCATTTTTCTCTTAAAATGAAGAACATTTGTTCAAAATAAACAAATGGTTGAAAACTCGCCGATAATTGTATTAACATTATTACAAATGTATAGAATTACACAAAATAAAAGAATAAATCATGTTCTCTTGTCAAATATTAAAAACTTTTATTACTATTATCTGGTAACTCATTTTAATACGACAAAAGTTAAACATAGTAGCAGTTACGTAATGAACAGTTTTTTAATGGTAAAATACAAAATTGAAAAATAATTCAATTTCAGTATTGATCTTGGGCTCTTTTAGCTGTAACAATATTAAAAATCTATCTTGAATGTAATTTTTGTTAATTAATTTATAAGTAATTACAAACGATGGTAGATACGTTCACAGTATTTGAGTTTTGTGTTATGAACCAAGTGAAATAAAAGCTGCAGTTGTGTTGCACATTGGTTAATTACATTTTCTCCGAGTACTCGTCGCAAATATAGTTAATATAATTGTAAGTTTTGTAAACTCTAAAGCGGCTTAGTTCAATAATCGCATGAGAGTCAGTGATATACGTTGCATCTGTCTTTAGTTAAATAAAATAATTGAAAGAGGTAACAATAAGAGATTTCAACAAATAATTACACGGATGAAATGTTTTTCACGTATTATGCAATTAAAATATTAATGTATTCAAATTAAAAAAATAAACGATATAACATTTTGGAAATGTTGATCACTCTCGTATTTTGGAAATTTGATTAAATAACGAAAGCATTAACGAATGTCATGTTTTATTAAACATATTTCATGCGATAGTTTTATTTTTTCAAGTTGGCGTGGTTGTGTGATTTTCTAACCTTTAAAAGTTTTGGCACAAAAATCTCTACACGTTACAGTTAAGGCTTTACTAAGTTGCGTGGAACGCGTGAGCTTTTCAATGGTTCCGCACTAAATATACAATGTGCACATTTCTAACACGGTACAAAATAATTACCTCGTAATATACTAAACTACACAAATACATAATGATTTGCACGCAACTCAAAACTTAGATTGCTAATCTTATTGCCTTTGTGGTCGCAATATGCCATTACTTATAATCATTTAAACTAATTATAGTCAAACTCATTGAAGTAAGAAATTCATTAAAAAAAACAATGTTTTTTTAGTGACATTCTATACTGTATAATCCCAAACTCAACTATTTCACAATTATTTAACAATATCATGAACTTTTTAGTTTATTATAATATATACCAGTTTACATATGCCTTTGTTTTTGATGTCACATACCACGGTTACAACTTTTCATCGATTCGACAGCGACCCATCGTTTCCCTTTTTTGCACCGGTGCGCCGAAAACTTTTACCGAAGCTATTTCACATTCGAAACCGACATTTTTTAGTTCAAATTTGTTGTTAGAGCGGATTTATGCACGTTCACCATATCATCTAGAAAGGATTGATTCCATTTGTATATAAATCTTCACAGACAGTGTTATACAAAAAACGCTAACTCGTCTTGTCATAGCATCACCACCAGACACTATTCACGCAATCTAATACGACACTGAAATGCATTTTTCTATATTTCTTTCATGATATCTACTCACAACAAACCTTCAAATTATACTCCAACAACTAGTTTATACAGGTCAATCATAAAACGATGTATAACAGATGATTAGATGAAGAATCTAACTTTAAAATAATATTACTTTATTTCTGTATACATATTTGTCTTATGCCAACTTATGTTACTTTTTAAACTTTAAATATACAGAAAGCACAATTTTTTTCAATAGTCTCAACTTTAAAAAAATAATTTTTTACTTATAACGTTATGATTTTACAATTAAGATTTGTATATGAAATAAATATTTTATTGTTATAGTTATTACAATGACAACATAATTAAATTACTGTATAGCTATAATATTAGCTGATATTACTAAATGAACAAAGTTAATTATTTTTTTTATAGTTATTCAACTATGTAAAACATTTTTTCTAACTATATAATTATGTTATCGTTATATTAACCATAATGTCGTTTGACTCAAATATGTAGTTTTTTCGGCGAAGAAGTTTGCTAAATGTAAGCTTTATGTTTTAAATTTTTATAAACTTTTGTAAACTACTAATATTGCTTAAAAACTTAGTGTTTTATTTAAAATAGGTTGAAAAAAGTGTTCATAAATATATCAGATACAAACTAATAAAAAGTCGTGCAATAAGTTATTATTTACATTAGTTTGTAAACTATCTAAATGTAAGTAAATGTTTATTTCACGGTACTTGTTTTCCAAATACTACTCTCAGAAAGTTAAACGTTTATTAGAATAATTAAAAATTAAGTTCAGAAAAAAATATGATAACTATTTAACTCAATTATGTAACAATAGAAACTAAAATTCGTTTTAATATAAATTTTTTTAAAATCTTTTGTTGTAAATATTACAGGATTCAGCAATAAAAATTTATCATAGAAAAGTAACATTCATTATTTTTACAATGTAACTCACGTAGGCTACCTCCACTTTTTTGGAAATTCACATTACATTTATATATATATATATAAAAAAGATGTTTTTATAATTTGCACTACCATATTATTTCTACGAAATTTGATAATAGTTTAATAGATTTATAAAACTGATATTAACTATAATTTAATAAGTTAAAGACTTTTACTTTACTAACATGGCTATTGAACTGAATGTTTTCAGAACAGGAATTGTTTTGATACGAGTTTGAAAACTTATGTCTTACAGTAAATTCTCGGATTTCCTTAAATCATTGCAATATTTCTCAATGAGACAGATGCTCTATTCAACATTCAGAAAGATTTAAGCACAAAGAAGTTAATACCATCAGGTCAATGATGAAAATGTATACCATGTTCGCGTGTTGTTTTTTTCTTAAAACTTTGTTCCAATTTGGAATATGCACCCAAAAAAACTTAAAGTCACTATTTAATATGGTTGCGTGACATGAACGTACTTTATTGTATCTAGTTTAGATAAATGTATTCTTAGTTCAAATTGGCAACCATTGCCTTGGTGATTTATAAATAAAATAGTCCCTAGTCTAATTATTTTTCGAATCATAAATTATTTGTTTAATATCATGTAATACCAATTCAGTCACAGAATTTCATTTTGAGAAGTTCGTCAAACATTAAATAATCATATTGATTTCGATTTTTTTAATGGAAAATTAAAAACTTAATCATATAAACTTTAAAAGGAATACAGATTTTCAAATTAAAATATATTGTGTGTTATTAAAGCTTTACGCCGATCGTGTGAGCTAAGCATAAAAAGATTATAAATTTTTTTCGTTGTAGTTTTAGAAGAATCCAGTAGGGTAACATTATTTGAAAATTACTTTTTTCAACTTTAGGCGCTTTAAAGTAATGAGTTTTGTAGTTATTTATAAAGCGAAAAAGACCTGTATAATAGTTTATAAAATCGAAAGTCGCGTTCGTGGAGTTATTATTCAGTAAACTTTGCTTTTGACGTGCAAATTGATAATAGGATTATATTACAATGGCTTCCGGCATTATTTTGAGCAGTTCATACGGCGGAAAGAAATATCGCGGCGTACAAAATTACTCAGCCACCATGATTTCAAAATATACCCAAACTCCTGTAGAAAATACTTAATGCAAATTTATGTAGATACTATGCTCACCCGGTCATAACTTTGTCCGTTGTGAAATTAACATTTATTGTTTCACAATTTAGGACAGCGTACTAATGCAATTAAATTGATGCTTGCCGTACTAAAAATTACGGAAAAAGAAATTATCTCCTATACAAGTGTGCCCAAAAACCGAAAAAGTTGAATAATTGAAAATAGAGGTAGCGTTTTAACGTTTTTAGATTTATCCATTTTTCAACCGAATTCTTATTTTAATAAAATAAACAAAATACTTTTATTCAACTTTTAATCGTATAGATGTAATCAATAGCAATAATCGAATTTTCTAATGAGAATAATGTAATATTTACAATCTATTTACATTGGTATACAAATTCTGGCTTGTATAACCTAAAATTTAAATTGTTGCTCTCCTAAACGTCACTATTTTTGTCCGACTTATGCTAATTTGATTATAATTTTTATAACTTAATAAGGCATCATCATTATTTACCTACTTACATTGCATAATTTTGCGATGGTGTTCGGACGAGGTGGCGTTGGTGCTGATGACAACAAGTGTTTCTGTGGGCCGTCGACCAGAGTGTTGTAGCCATAGCATCGTGAACACGCTCGCAATATATCACATGTACTTACACTAACGACCAGCTCGGCTCCGTTTAGCCGCCAAACTGATTCACCAGCAGCACGAAACATCCCCGTATATGGCTGATCCTGCGCGCCCCCCGCAAAAGGATGCTGAGCCCTGCGCACGGCATCCCTTACCCTTTCCTACGGTTTCCAAAACTGTGACGGATGTCCTTTTCCCCCTCTTAAATATCCAGTGGTATATTCGGCAGGTTTTTTTTACTATTATATTTTATTTTCTTGTCTTTCTTTCGTCTGTTATTGTCTTTCTCGCACATACCTGAAAGTTGCAGTAACTTTAGCTCATCCATGAAAGTGACATTTTGACAGTTATTGAAATTTCATAAAGTTATTCTCTCAGCTGCTGATATCCGTGGAATAGTAAAAAATAAAAACAAGTTTAATGTATACATCATCTTCGTAAAACATTTTATAAGCTGTTTACGAGTAGAAGTACATAATGTATGCTTTTTATGTGTTATACACATTAAGCCCGTCGACCGACTTTCAAAAGCTCAGATATTGGCACACTATATCTATTTATTCTTTATTTTGTTATAAAACGTTGTTATAAAATTGAAAAAAACGTTTTTATAACTTTTTTCATTTTGCATACAAAGCACGTGTCCATCCCTAGCTATGTAATTGTTTTCTTTAGTTGTGATGAGTATGAGATTTGATTTTATTCAATCAGAAAGGTTGTGCGTTTTTATACAGCTAATGATTAAAAAAAGTGAAATACATAGAACAGATAAAACGAGGCTTTTATTGATGATTTTAAATTTAGTTTGCTAAAGATCTATTTAAATAAGCTCGCCTGTTTCAATCAAGTCGAAAATATTCATTTATTTTTCTAGTACTGCTATTGAAAACAAAAATTGCTAATCTGTTCGTATAGGAAGTTTTATGGAATATAAATTCTTTATAGTTTATGAGTAAAATATTATTTAAAATTTATTAAAGTCATGAGGAAAACATGAAATTATCACAAAACTTAGTAAAAAAATTTTGCTTATACTTAAATATCTTATAACACAGCTATATTCTTAATTTGATAAACATTGTTTCCTGAACACTTCCAAGAAAAGAACCTTATTTGTTTCAAAGACGTGTGTGCATTTTTATTTATTCTTATATTTACATTAAAACTGATTTTGATGTTTAAATATACGTAAACTGTATAATTTTATCAAGTAATATAACAATAGTAGTTATAAAGTTGTATTATACAAAATAACAAAATACTTATGGAATGAATATGAGAAAAAAAAGTTTGTAAAATATACATTAAATTTAGAATAATGTCAAGTTCTTGATAAATAATATTCGATTAATTATATACAAGAAAAGAGTTTTCAATATTTCAATAACAAAGTAGATATTATCAATACTTATAATAAATAGCTCTAAAGTTTGGTACATTGGATAATAAAACTTTCTGAAAGCCTAAGGGACCAACTGCTTCAAAGTTTATAAAAACGATTTTTAATTAAAAAAATATTCAAGATTAACCATAAACGATTAAATTTATATTTACTTTTAAGTGGCTTAATTTTTATATCTTTCTAAATTATTACGCACAAATTTAAAAAAAAAATCAGAATTTTAAGCAGAATTCTAATTTTGAGATATCCTTCAAATATTGCTGATTGTATATTTTAATATTTAAAAGTGATCGAATAAAAAATTTCAATCAAATTCAAGTTATAATTGATTATATTCCATCCTATTATATGTAAATTTTTATTTCATGTGTAATATTTGTTCATGTTACATACAATTAATTGCAATTTGAACACAATAACTCATAATTAAAAAAATGTACAGATCGTTATTTTTCTTAATAAAAAAATTGTATAACATTGTATTTTCTTATATTTATTATTCACTATTTATATAAGAATCTTATATTATAAGACATTTAGTAAGTAAAAAAACAGGTCAATTGTTATTAACAATGAGAACAATAGAAACCAGTTTCCTTACTAACAAAAACTGTATATTTAGTGTAAAATAAACATACCACTTTTTATAAAATCGTTCTCAAAATGTCTGAATTCATGATTTATAATAAATTTTAATACTATGTTTTGTCTAAAAAACTTAGTATAGTAATATTTTTAACTACTGTACATTATAATACTTAAAAAAAATAAACAATAATTTAAAGTTTTGTAAAAATTTGACTTCGATTTTTAAAAAATAAAAATAATTATTTTTATGAATATTTCTAAAATTTTTCCTAAAAACCAACGAAAAAGTTTTAATGTTTACTTTACTTATAAAAAATATTTGCAAGAGCAAAATATCTTCATATTTCTGAGATATGTCCCTTAAATATATGACCAATTTTGGTACCAACAAATGTTATAAACATAAACCATCCAGGTATAGTAATAATTTATATGCTACCAGAGATTCAAAATTAACTGATGCGTTGCGGTAATTTCAGTTTCCCACATTACCAGGACGAGCGGAACTGTATTTCAACAAAGTTCAACTGTGATTTATTACCTCGAACAAATACAACAAACTCGGATCCTTCGAATAATTTCTTTTATATCCCTTAAACGTGAAATATGTCAAAGAAGGTTAATAATCATCTTAAGTTACCATACACGTTAAGGTTGTCCGTAATTTAGTTTTCTTACACAAATCGTATTTTTCGAATTCTATTCATTGACATATGTAACATATGTAACAATGATGGCCAGCAGAGTATAAATTTCAGTACTTAAAATTCTGTGTTATAATTTTCGGCTCTTAAAATACAGAAACATGTAACATCAATTATTAACGTTCAAAAAGATTAACCCATTAAAAGAGAAAAATTTCTTCAGTAATATTATTGCATACTAAAAAATATACATTGAAATGACGTTTCTGTACCATAAACCATGTAAAAAATATCCTGGGAGTAAAAGTGCGCATTTTATTTTTGTCACATATACATATGTATTTATAGTATAAAGTAGTATTAAATAATTTTTTTTTACAATGTTTTTTCATAAAAAATTTTGTATAGATTAAAATTTAATTTATTTGTTTAAACAATTGTAAATATCAACTTTCAAAAGTAAAATAAGAACCTATTATTATTTTTTTTACTATTATTTGGAGAATAGTTTAAATAAAATTTTGGAAGATCAATAACCAGTATTGTATAATTACTTCTTTAGTTATAGGCGAGTGAGACATTGAAGATTTCTGTTCGTTATATTAAAAATAAAGTGTTGCTGAACACTAACTTGCTCCACACATTTTCTAAATCTTTAAGTTATCAACCATTTAAAATTTTATTTTTCATTAAAAGGTAAAAATATAATAATAGGTTCCTCTTTAAATTTTAAAAGTTACCCTTAAATTTTACCCTATGGATTGATATTTTTTATAATAAACTTGTTATATTCAATTGTCAAAAATAAATTAAATTTTAATCTATACATTTTTATGAAAAAATCATTATTTAACGAAGAAATGAGGGAGGGGTAGTATACTTATAAAATAACACTTTAGACTTATACCACAGTTTACTATATTATTAAATTTTTCGTCATTTTAGTCTAAATTTAGTTATTGTTATTTTTAACTTATATTTTCTAAATTTGATATAGATTTGGATTTCTTCTATATGATGTGAGTTGATGGATATCTTACGCGCAAAGCTTTTACTTAAAAGTTTACTTTTATTGTATTATAAATACAATAGCTTCAATTTTGTTATTGACAACTATAAATTTAAATATACAACATCTTGATAATATTTGTAATAATATTTTAATTCGGAATAATTGTTTTTAATTAAAGAAACTTAATAAAATTAGAATTTACTAGGGACCTTGCAATACTACATTGAAACAATTGTATAATAAGTAACAAATTGTACATTTATTTTTATTATCTAAAAGATTTTAGAGGACAAAAAAGGATAAGTTTTATAATTACTTACCAAAGGTACAATTCATTGAATAATTTATTATACACACAACTTTGCTACATGTTCTTTGAAAATTATACAATTTAATGATAAAAATAATAATAAAAATATATACATAATTTAAAGATGAGGTATAATCACGCCATCATAGAAGGTTTTACATAGTATAATGCTATGTTAAGCTTGATACTCGAGTTAATTCACATTAACTACAAAATTACAATTTATTATGAATATCATCTATATTATTTACATTGTTGGTGTGTTGCATACAAAATTATACGCTATTACACATATATACAACTCGTTTGAAAAACGTATGAGATTTGTCATAATAATATGAAAGATTTGTTATAGATTTTTATGAAGCTTCTTAATTATTATTTGGTGAATTGTATACTCCCATAAATAAAACGGAACCAGTGATTTTATCAAATAAGAAATATACAAATGGATGATTTGCTCGAAATTTGTATGGTTCAAGAGGTCTGGATGATCTAGATGAAATAATTGCAGTAGCCGCTGCTGCTATGGTACCTTCTTCGTCCACGGAAATCTTAGCTTTGTGGACAGCTTCATCAACAGTTACACCATTTGCTCCACCAGTTAAAGTTGATAGATCAGCTCTTCCTTTAAACAATTCACCAATACCCATTTGTTCCAACAACTAGATAATAGCGAATAATATGATTGTTATTTCTGAACAAAATTCAATTATTTCAAGAAATTTATACTTACAGGTACTAAATTACCCATTGTTTGTTCAATACTAAATTTAGGTAAGGATACTTCAACATTACGTGTTCGCCAATCGTTGGAAGAAACGATTTCTTGAAGAATATTAGTGTTGAGTCTCTTCGTTAACAAACTGATACCTCGTTGTTTGTTGAATGGAGGTAATATGACGAACAAACTAATGTCTCCACCTTTGTATGGAAGTTCTAAAACATGTGCTCCTAACTCGTCAGAACTCACTATTAGCAAAAAATTTAACAAAAATTGATTTTTTTGTTGTTTGATAATATTTAATAATTAATTATGAAATTACACAAATTAAAAGTCCCGGACTGCCACATCATTGGTACTTTAGCATTCTCAGTTGGTGAAATATAAAACACTTCTTCTTTGGTGCTTTCTGAAGCAAATTGAGAACTCCACAAACCTTTGAAATATGCAGCATTTGTCTAAAATAAATTACACGTGTTTCATAATCATATTTTATTTTATAGTAAACTGTTTTCATAAAATCATCTTACCAGTACTAATCTAGTATTGTAGTTTATGTTACCCGAAGGTATAAGATCTTTAATGTGTCCATTGGTTTGATTGGTCACCCAATTATTAATATACATACGAGCTAGTTCAGGATCAATGACAAAGTCCATGGGATGAACTTCCTGAGCGAATACTTCACCCACACACTTTTGAAGGGGCAAGCGCTTTGAAACAAACAGACGATCGGTTGAACTGAATTCATAATCTGAACTTGTATTTTGAGCCCTCATTGTTTGGAACAATTTTTCCATTCGATAAGCTTGCAATACTTTAAGTTTATCCTTTTAAAAATTTGTACAAAACTCTTTATAAATAAAACATTTAAATGTGTTATTTTTAATAGTAAAAACGCACCTGTTCAGGAGGAAGATTGAGGAATTTTTTCAATTCAGCTTCTGTTTGATCTGCACTAAGGAAATATGTAATCAAAAGTGCTGTGTATATACTGTGAGGAGAAAATATTAAATTTTGTTTTGGCGAAGCAGCTACAGCTGTTTGTAAGAGTTTAATACTGAAAGCTTGTTGTCGTTCGAATAAATAAAACTGACCGGAGAGAAACTCTTCAATGGTCAATCCAGGCCCATCGGGTAGGCATTTATTTTCGCTTGATGGAGCAGACAAAATTATAGTAGCCAAAAGCGTCAGTCCTATGACGTTTATAAAAAACCAACGCATGATTCGTTAATTTAATCTAAAATAAAATTGAGTTTAAGAAACTTTTTAATGTTACTTAAAATAATAATGTTATTTTGCTTTGTAAAACGTTTGTAAATGTAACGATAGTTGAACTAATCAATTCGAACACAACAGTCATACAAAATAATATATTTGCATCTCATCGTGCTAAACATTAGGTTCTAGGTATAATAAATATTTATCAGATTTCCTTTGTCTGTATTTGTAAGCATTAAACGTTGAACTTTACAACCATTTACTAATTTAAATGTACTAGTAAATTATATCGAAATGTAACCGTACGGCTCTGCATAATTAGTTTACTATTTTATGTGTTTTTAAAATCATACTTCATTAATATTTTAAGATGTTGTTTTTTGCCAACATAACCATTGATATAACTAAATGACCTTCAAATCTCAGTTAGGAATATAAACTTGAAAACTTCATCATATCAAATTGTTATTAAATAAACATTCCAATATAAAAGTGAGGAATTGAAATTCTTGTNTTTCATTAATATTTTAAGATGTTGTTTTTTGCCAACATAACCATTGATATAACTAAATGACCTTCAATCTCAGTTAGAATATAAACTTGAAAACTTCATCATATCAAATTGTTATTAAATAAACATTCCAATATAAAAGTGAGGAATTGAAATTCTTGTTGAAATAATATTTTTTTAAATTAAAACTCGTAAAATAAAAATTTGTTTTGTTTAATTAAGTGTAATTTTCTAACTTATAAATATTGTTATTAACAAAACTATTACTACAATTTATTATAAAACTACTTATTGTTAGGTCTGGAGAAATGTTCAGGATTTTTCACGAGGATATTATTTAATATATTAATATATTAGATAAGATAATGTTTTTCTATCCTCTCAATACGTTGTCTTTAACATGTAATTATTTTTGTGATAGAAAATTAAACCCCTACCCTTTACTATGTTATTGATTAATTTTACAACAATTTGACCATACTAAAAATAATTACGGTATCTAACAATACACCGACGTTAAAATATTCAAAACAATTGGTCAATGGAAACTTTTATCAATTATTCTCCTGCAAAAGTAATTTGACAGTTACATTAGAAAATTCCTAAACTGAAATTAGAAACATTACTTGTTCATGGAATTTCTAAATCATCAATAATCATATCAAACTAATATTTTATATTTATTGTACAAAAGTCTTCCAACTCATATAAAGCTGAATAAAAAATAAAATAATAACTCTAACATCAATTTCCCATGAAAACAATTCAGAGGAAATGATACAATTTAAGTTATGAGGTATAACTTTAATAATGTATATACTAAGAAAACCAAATAAAACTGAGTACTTGAAACAATTCATAACCTTAGGTTAACGTTGAAGTTCGTAAGTTAAAAGTCTCAAGAGAGTCGTTAATAACGACTCGTTATTATTGTTTGTAAGAATAATATAGACCAGTAAAATATAAGAAAATCGTTTACAAAGGGTTTACTTATAGATAAGGATTGTTTTAACGAAATTTTTGTTTATTTATGTAACATATGTTTGTTGATAAATAAAATTTTCTTATATCATCATAGAATTTTTGTCAAAAAAAGTCAAAAACTCAAACAAATCGACTTAATCGCCATAAAAAACGTGAACCAGCTGTCTTTAATAATGTTATAAAAGAAAATACTACTTAGTATACATGTTTGTGGTTTATGTTATTAATATTAAAAAGCACATCATAAAAGTATTAATCTTAAGTCAATTTTTAACATAATCCCTTTCTCATGAATTCAATTCGGATAGCATTATATTAGTCAATAAATAACATCATACATTACTTCACAAATTTTTTTTAATTAAAAAATTATTTTAACCACTCCAATTTTAAGTCCATTTATTAAATAAATGTATCAGATAAAAAAATTATATCTAAAAATATTTAAAACACTTTTTAATTATCAGGTTACATTTATTTAAAAATTAGGTTTAGAAAATATGTTTTATTAAAGATGCACAAATGGTTTTACTATACAGAAAATTATTGCTCCGTCCATACTATACCTATATATGTTATTTATATGTGAGCAAATCATTTTAAGTGTTCCCGAATTAAAATTGCTAAAAAAATGTTTAATTCACATGGTAGAATACAAAAATATTTGATTTTCATGTGTATAAAACATGAGTATTTTTCTCGTTGTACAGCCGGATACTTTGAAGGTCTTGAAGAATATTTTTAATAAAAACAACATGGTAATAGGTAATTTCACGGTCAGACATCGGCTGTCACACCAAAGTAATGAATGCATATGAAGAAAACGGAAAAAATAGTCCAATATTATGATAAGTGTCTACATTGTCGACCTTGTGTAAAGCGGTCAATTGGAGAGAAAACCCACTTATTTTCAGCATGGTTGTTATTTTGCCAATCTGTTAGTTGATATATTTATGTAATACAATTACGTACAATATTTGGTTAGCATTTGTTTCCTGGGTTTTCCCATTGCTTACTTATCTGCAATCTCATCACGTTTTACGTTCAATTGAACTCATATTAGCTTTACAGACAGCAATTGTATTCTAGAACTTTAACTATACCAATTTATTGCACGAATTATGCGTTGATTTTACATACTATTTATAATATATTCTATTAATACAAATTTATTACTTTAACACTTCGTACTCACTTACAGTCAAAATTTACAAAGTGATTTCTTAAAACGTATTAACCAAACCCAACATTATAAAACTATCTAATAGAAATAACTAATTAACTTAAAAATACCTCTTTATTTTTAAAGTTAAATACAAGATAATTTATCTAAATTTTCTACTAATAAAATTGATTTATTTATTATGCTAATTTTGTATTTATAAAGAAAATAAAAAGTTAAAGAGACTAGTACTTTAGCTTATTCTGCTCTAAATTCAAGCAAAATTCTAGAATTTAAAGCAAAGAGTTCTAAAAGTTTTTTAGTTTGTATTGCCTTTTGTATCTTTAAGATGTCGCATAATTTTCGAATACTATTGTAAAATGATTTGTAAAAAGGGTCATTTTTTACTTCACTGAAAAAAATCTAAGTAATGCAAACATGAGTATTTAAAGTATATAAAGTAATATATTAAAACAGTATACAGTAATTGGTATGTTAAAATTTACTACAGCAAATGTTTTGTGTTATATTAAGTTAATTATAAATTTTGCCTTAAATTATACTCGATGAAATGGTTCATTATATTATATTTGAATTACGAAAACCCTTTGATTCTTTAAGTTAAACTAAACATTAGTGTTCAATATTATAATTATTATAGTATTACAAATATACTCATTTTTTTTTATTGGTATAATTTAAGTTCACTGAAACATCAGAATATAACAATTTCTCCTTTAAAATTATGCAGCTATAGAAATATGAAATTACGTTAAAGCATTTTCATTTGATCAAAATGATGAATTATATTCTTGAATATCATTTAAATTTTGATCACTGATTTAAGGTAATTTTGATAAAAATATTATATGAATTTTTATTTTATACGAATGTTAAGTAATTTAATAAATCGTTCCTATTTGTCTATAATAATTCCTAATATTATCTGGTAGTTTCCTAGGGAATCATGAAATTTGTTCACAAGCAATTAGATATTTAGAGGAAGCTAATTATCCACAGATAGATAGTGTTGATATTTAACTTTTTTTTCTTGTATTCAAACGAAAAATATTCTTCAAGTTTCAAAATATGATAGTATTTCTCTGTGTTGGTAGTTTTGTAATTTAGTTTAAAATAAAATTAATATTCATTTATCGAAATTAGATTTATTAAAATATAAAAGCATAAAAAAGTATTGTTTCTTTTACTCCTTCATTATAGGTTTTTTATTAAATTTCGGTTATTTAACAATAGGACTATAATCTCAAAAGAACACTTAGAAGTTTTTTTAAATACACATTGATTAACTTAGGAACTCGGGTCGAATTGATTTTTAATGTATCATTTAAACTATGCTAGATGTATTGTTACTGATAGTAAACAGGGATTTGGCTCAACAAATAATTTTCTATTCGTGACACAATATATTAAATAATATTATGATATTTCTTGTCACTTGTCACTGTGACAATAACAAAAAATTTTTCTTAGTGATTTAGTTTCCAAAAAATCTAGAGAAAGCTACTTCCATAATACCATTACTTTGGTGTAATATTCACTTAATTCCCGTTTACCATTACGTGTAATATTGACTGTTTTCCGCCATGGTGACGGACGTGGTGTTATTATTATGTTTTGACGGGTAAACAATTTTCTGATTGTGATCCTCCTGTGTCTCCGCCACTTTCACATTCATCTACCGCTGACATTTCTTGTATGTCTGAATATGATAATAATAATATGTTACCTTCATTATGCAATCAGGTATTATTCCCATATATAGCATAATATCGATACAGTTCTTCTTTCAAAATAATAATGCATTATAAAATAACATCACATCATACTGACGTGTGATCATCGCGTCGTCTCAACACAACAGTTGCGACAGTCATGTTATCATAAAAACACAACACAACGTGATTCCTACACGTATTGTTATCAATCCAATGAAGGTCCATATAGTAACAAAATCTCAATGATTATACATTTCCCAGAGAAAGTTGCAAAAGATCGTCTTTTAGATGAACTAAAGTACATTCTGATAATTAAACCCAACAGATTTTTCAAAAATAAACTTTAAAAGTTGAAAAATTAAAAACAATATCAATGTAAGCGATTATCAGGAGATAATTGAATATTTCAAAAAAATGTACAGTGACAACCGTATTTATTAAAAAATTAAAGAATAATTAAAATTAAATTAGCCTAAAAGTTATTCAATCCACATAGATCCTTCAGATATTTTACGATTTAAAAATTAAATTCGCTAGCTAATAGAATCATGCTAAATTATAATAAGTTTATTACTAAATGTTTAAATTATCTCGATGTCTTTACCTTCAATACCTAAATACTAAATTATGTTCATAATTGCTTAAATAATTCATATTTGTATTAATATTTTATTTTATATACATTGTAATTAAATTTATTTGAAATTTTTGCAATTATTGAAAATTCTATCAATTAACATTATTTTTTTTTTGTATCGTGTGATCATCTCATTATTAAATAAATAAAAAACGGTAGCACAGTGGGGTCGCGGCATAGTGGAGACATTGCATAGTAGGGTCTAGTATAGATTTAATCTGACAGTGATTAAAATCACTATCATAAGAAACGCTTCGATGCAAATCTGTAGATAGTGTTTAATTTTAAAAAATTGATGTATAATTGCAAAAGCAACATCAACTTCTATTAAAATAAAATACAAAACCCATAATTATCATACAAAAATAGTATATTTTTCAATATGGTAGCCATTTGCGTATAGAAGATAGATCGTCGGGACAAATTTTTTTTTTTCATTTTGTAGTACATAAAATAAGCTTTAATTTTATATATGTTTAAAGGACGCAGTATTTCCGGAACATTTTCAAAAATTAAGTTGAAAAAGTTATTTTTTGTAAAAAAGTTACTATTTTAAATCCTCCCAGTGAGCAGAATAAGTGTTAGATTTTCAAAAAAAATTATATCAAATGAAAGGGAAATATCTAAGGTTTCAATACAAAAAAATATTATTTTTATTTGTTCATTTTTGAAAAAGTTATGGCAGTTTTAAGTACAAAAAACATCCCGATAAAATGTAATTTTTATCGCAAACATTACATTTTTTTTTAAATTTTCGACAGCCATTTGCACATAGAAGATAAGATGTCGGGACAAATTTTTTTTTTTCATTTGATAGTATATAACATAACCTTTGATTTGATATATGTTTAAAGGACGCAGTATTTCCGGAACATTTTCAAAAGTTCAGTTGAAAAAGATCTATGTTTTTTACAATATTTTAAGTTTTGAACGCCCCCTATATAAGGGGAAATTGTCCAATTTTAATAAAAAGTATGTCAAATGAAAGATGTACTTATAATGTATTTAGAAAAAAAAAATTTGTGCTGATATATACATTTTTCAAAAAGTTATAGCATTTTTAAGTTGAAAATTTAAAATCGAAAATCGAAAATTTTAACACAAAAATAGTGTTTTTTTAACTACGGCAGCCGTTTAAATGTAGAAAAAAAAGTGTCGGGACAAATTTTTTTTTTTCATTTTGTAGTACATAAAATAAGCTTTAATTTGATATATGTTTAAAGGACGCAGTCTTTCCGGAACATTTTCAAAAATTAAGTTGAAAAAATTAATTTTTGTAAAAAAGTTGCCATTTTAAATCCCCCCCAATGAGCAGGTTAAGTGATAGATTTTCAAAAAAATGATATCAAATGAAAGGTAAATATCTAAGGTTTTAGTATAAAAAAAAATTATGTTGATTTGTTGATTTTTCAAAAAGTTATGGAAGTTTTAAGAAAAAAAAGTGAAAAAATTTCGAAAATTAGCGATTTTTAAATTTGTAATTTTTTTGGATATTTCCCCCATTTGCGGGGAACGAGGGAATTTTTTTCAATTTTTAAGGGTAATGTCTTCAACTAGATACGATTTGTGATCTTTTGACGTATTTTTGAAAGAAATCGGTCCAGTGAGAGCTGAGAAAAAGTGGCAACAGACATAAAAAAAAAAAAAAACACATCATAGTAAAATTAATACCTTCTCCGCTTCACATCGAAGCTAATAATGGCGAAACACCGTCTATTAAGCATGAAAAGACCTGTTGCTCTTGAAAAAATATTATACTAACACAATAGAACCATCATGATAGTTTTGAAAATTGTAATTATACATTTATAAATAACNTAATGGCGAAACACCGTCTATTAAGCATGAAAAGACCCGTTGCTCTTGAAAAAATATTATACTAACACAATAGAACCATCATGATAGTTTTGAAAATTGTAATTATACATTTATAAATAACNAACGGTAGCACAGTGGGGTCGCGGCATAGTGGAGACATTGCATAGTAGGGTCTAGTATAGATTTAATCTGACAGTGATTAAAATCACTATCATAAGAAACGCTTCGATGCAAATCTGTAGATAGTGTTTAATTTTAAAAAATTGATGGATAATTGCAAAAGCAACATCAACTTCTATTAAAATAAAATACAAAACCCATAATTATCATACAAAAATAATATATTTTTCAATATGGTAGCCATTTGCGTATAGAANAACTTAATGTAATACCAAAATATGAAAAAAAAAAAATTTCGGGAGATCAAGATCATGGATATATAAAACGTACATTATGAATAGGGTTAAAGATAAAAAAGAAAACTTATCTCACTGATATCCTATAAATAACTTTACTAAATAATAAACGGAAAACGTCAATTAGTAGTTAATTAACACGGGATATTTAATGATTTCTATGAATAAAACGTAGAACATAAATTAATGATTCATCAAAAAGTGATTAAATATCTAATTATGTAAAAAAAAAAAAGACGAGCTTTCTTAAAACCACATTGAAAGCAAAATTATATTGAATAATACGTTGTACTTTATGTAAGACATGTGTTTAAACGNGGAGACGAGCTTTCTTAAAACCACATTGAAAGCAAAATTATATTGAATAATACGTTGTACTTTATGTAAGACATGTGTTTAAACGAGTGGTTTCAAAATGAGCGATGTTTAACAGAGAAAGCAATGTGATGTATATAAAAAGTCCATTTAATAAGTAAATTACATGTAATTTTTAATGTTTTCTATGATAAAATAATCCAATGACAAATACAGTTTAATACGCAATGTAAATACAATATTTTTAGGGTTATTTATTATAGATCGTTCTTAAGAATGTAGATGTATAATTATGTTGCAAATCTGTTCCACGAAATCGTGCTCGGAATATAATAAACGTTACATAAACCGAATAATATTTAGTAAACACACGTCATACTTATAATTAATAATACTTCAAACTTTTAATGGTAAAACCCTTAGTTTAAATAGTAAACAATACAAGGATTAATAACCTTAAACATGATTGATATTAACGATACTTTTGCAGTATTAACAAGTAAATTAGACATTTTTCTAGAAAGAGACACAACATGTTTCACTTGACGGTGACAAATTCATTTGATGGTGTCAAACATTCTAAAATAGAAATATTTTTAGTATCTTTTAAATTAGGTATTTTGAGCTTGTTATTGTGTTACTGAAGCTCATAACTTATGAATGATATGTGCAAATTGTTTTGGCATCCACGTCATGTTTACTATACCTACGCCTACCTCAAACGATGTAATAATAGCGTATATAATATAATATATACTGTCGAAAGTATCATGGATTGTTACAAATCTCTATAGGTGGCGTTTTATTATTTAATGGGAATCCAGAGAATTCCTAAATGTCGTTCGTTGCATAATAAATGGTAATAACAAGGGAGCAATTACATCATTTTATTAGCTTCCATAAAAAGGAAGGTGTAAAATTCTCCTTAATTAACGATATTGAATCATAAATTGCACTGCTTTTAATCTAACCGATATAAAACCATAACAGTATTAAAATGTCTTAATGGAACATTAGGTATTACACTGTCATGAGTTCTTTGCATCTGAAATTTATCAAGTAATTGTAGAGTTTTGATGTTCTTGACTTGGTCACAAATATATTAATACACTTGAATTAAATACCAACTAAACATCATGCTAATATTCGAAGAATCACAGACGTCAATCGTGATGTAAAAGAGTATTTCAGTTAAACACTGTCAACAATTTGATGTTATGAATATGCATAGTTAAAGTCTCTAAGGTCCTTAAAAGTTCTTTTAAAATATGAGATGAATACACATAGTTTTCAAACAATTCAATCTAAATAGATTATCTAATAGTTAAATTTTAGAAAAATTTATGAGCTAATGAATTCTTACCTATTGACACTGATATTTAAAAAAAATACACTAAAACACTGTTCAAGTACGCACTGCGATTTTCGTTTGCGACAACACGAGTAGTTAACGTACGTTTTATTACTGACGGATTGAAACGTTTCAAGGCACCAGCTGCTGGTACCGCGACAATGTCTATATCGTGTCTGTCCGGTAAATCCCATGGCCGACTGGACATGACAGTCGTATACCACCATTGCAAAACCTTCGATCAAAAACACTTTCACTGAGAATCTTCCCACCACTACCGTAACACGCTTTTATTTGCTTCTATCAAGCTCTACGGAAGTAGTAATGCATCATTAATATACATAAGTACCATCATCAAGAAGAGTTATACATTATAGTAACTAAAATGGCGTGTAATCAGAAACCGAATGCACGAAGCAAACGTCACAAACTCTCTTTAACCTATGACTCACAATGTCGTGGTTTTGGGGATTCCATGCTCTCAAATCGCAGCCTAAGCTCGAGTTAATATGCATCTCGTTTTACAATACTATAATATGATGATGATGCGAAACGTTAAACCTTGTAACGGTTTTCAAACGAACATTAGACCAATAGAATAAACCAAGTAGTGGCCAAAAGTTTATCTAAGTACCTTAAGTTATAAAAGTGAATCAGTGTAATCAATAAAGTAATATGCATCACATTGCTATTTAAACTTTTGATATTTCCTTTCGATACTCCATAGATATTGTTCGTTTTATCATTTAAGGTATACTTTATAGTGTACGTGCCTTAGTGTGATAATCCCAAAGGAATTTTTTTGAACTCGGCGTCCGAAGCCGACAAAATTAAGTGTAGAATTTTTAAATTCGTAGTATAAAAGAAATAAAAATTACGAATAAAATGAATTTGAAATAATGAATTACATAAAACAATGTGTAAACCAGTTTAATTACTCGCGTTATCGCGTTTGAAACTAACAGACCGCGAAGGCGCCTACTGTAGGATTGGCAAAGTATCCATTGTTTTTGCGGTATTTAGGCGTACTTACATAAACAATTAATAATTAGTCTTATATTTTTGTAATTTCACTTAATGCTTATAGAGAAACAAATTTATAATCTACAGTTAACCTAATAACCACTTTTACAATGTCAACACCACTGAACATTTCTAGCAATTATTTTCTACAAATAACTTAATTCGTTGTATGATTTTAGGGAAATTTTAATCAGACCAAAATTAATGGACAACATTGCTTATAAATTATATGTTTATATTTACGAATGACCACTCAACTTAAATTATAAATAAAGATAATTGATAAAATTAAATTTTAATTATCTTATAATTTATTGCAGTAATTGATCGATAAGATAGAATATTAAAGAATAAAGAAGTGAATTTTATTTACCTCTTTTGAACACAAAAAATTAGTCAGTCTAAATAATTTAGGAAAATTTATTTTATACAAAATAAAAGAGTGTTGGACAATAATATCTAACACCAGTGACAGTGCTAGATATTGCAGGATTCAATCCAAAAACATTTTCGCGGAGCCCCTATTATATATTTTTTAGTAAAAACGACTTTTTTTTTGCTTTTCATTTGTATATGAGACCTTAGCTTTACCCTTGGCTGGCCCTGCCTAACATTATTTCATTGTGAGAAGCAGAATTCAAATACTATGGTTATAACTAATAAATTTTTTTTTATAAAATAATTAAATTAAGTTAACAATTAACTCTGAGTTTTTAAAAACTTAATTAAATTGGTCATGCATTGGAAATCCGTTTGTTTTTTCATCCATGACTGTGGTGCATGTAATAACTCAAATCAAAACGGATACAGCACAGAATAAATCACAGTTAAAATTAAATTTCACAATTATAAATATTTTGATTATTATTCATAAACAAAACAGTAAGAATTTAAATTACATGTCAAAAATCTGAAACAAAATTATTATAATTCAAGATGAAGAGATAAATTATTTTAATAGGGTTACATAATTATAAAAAAAATACATATATAAACAAAATATAAGATTAATTATGTCAAAAATTCTATAAATAGTCTTTTTATAAAAAAATGTATCATCTAAAATCATAATTAAGTTCTCATGCTATTTTATATAGTAAAAATTGATCCATAGAACACAAATTCATAATACAATAAATACATCGCTTTTAATACCTACAACGATCCATTCACTTCTCTACAAAAAAATTATCTTATCAAAAAATGTTTTCATCATCTACGTCAACCTCGGTTTTTAATGCTAACAATACATAAATCTGCAGTTGGATTCAACGAGAAATGTCATTGAAAGTTAATTAAGCGTTAAATTTTAAAGCACTATTGTGATCCTCAAGGCGTAAAAGACAGTTTTTTCAACATCATAAAATCTTTAAAACTGTACTATTATTCTATAAGAATTATAAAATGCAAAAAAAAGAGTTGAGTTCATTTTTAAAAATACTTAAAATTTATGAGTTTGCTTGGAGTGACACTTTGTCGAAAGTATTTTTAGTCTTACTATGATTACTTTTCTAAAGAAATGATTATATTATAATCCTAATAAATAATTCAAATAATGATATTTTAGAGTATAAAATGATACTTTATGCTCTTAAACTAGAAAAAAAATAACAAAACAAGTTAATTAATTTTTTAGCAATTTCGATTAAAGGAAAATTAAAATACGATTATATTAATTTTTCTTCTAGTTCTAATAAAATTGTTATACTCTTTTTGTTTGATCTCAGAATTAACCAACTAGTTCATACTTGGTAGCTGTTAGAGATAATAGTTATTTAATTTCCATATAATTATTTTGTTGTGTCTTTATAAGCTTATACCATAGTAAATATCGCATAAACATCCTATTTTGAAAAACCGATGTTACGTTTAAATTATACATAATTATTTAAGATTAAAAAAATTATATGCGTATTTTAAATTAAAAAATATTTAATTTGTAGGTACCGAATCAATATTTATTATTGACTGTTTAAAAAATCGCGTTGTGAAACGCAGCATAAAATATAATAACACGAATATATGAATCATACAAGTCATAGGTAATTTTCTCAAGTCAGTAAATAATGCGGTCATAGCGTAGGTGGCTTAGATTATTCTTGTTGCAGTCCTTGAATGCAAGATCCGGATAAGTCGGAATTTATTATAACTTTGAACCTAGTGGAAATGCTATTGGTACGTTATGGACCAAAGATGACTGATACACATTTAAACGAATGTTTTTTTCTATCTAACCTTCAATTTAATAGAATATTGTAATGCCTACGTCAAGATAGGTCATGTTTGGTTACCATTGTGCAGATAAATTAAAATCAACTCTTCAAGACTATAAATTTATGAATTCAGGCCAAAAAGAAATAAAGTCAAACAAACATGTAATTATTAAAAATCATGATATTTCTAATAAACTATGCTCGCGTTTATTATTATTAAACTTGATATTAATTTCTATATAAACAAATTAAAATATTCGATGAATTTTTAATTTTGTTTATAGGTATTTTCTAAGCAGAAAAATTTGTTATAAAAACCACTATCTACACGAGCGCATAAAATATTTACAAAAAAAATTAATTTGAACAGTTAACAAAAAAATTATTCTTAATAATGATTAAGTATAGTTTTATTTTTACTGTTCATTTCGCAGGGACATTTAAAGAGAACAATGAGGGGTCGGTTAAAATGTTAACAAAACTTAAAGGACCAATATTAAAAACGTAAAGGGACAATACGAATACAACGTTAAGGATTTTGAAAAACAATATCTCCACATAAAATACAAGAACATTTTTCAGAACTTTTGTAACGTATACATGGTGTGTACAGGAAAAGTAGCAAAGGTTAGTGCGTACATTGAATTTATAGTTAAACGTATAAAAAGCCACAAGGAAATATCTCAAAGGAACTAATGACTTTTTATTTTGTCGGCCCTCCCGGGGTTTTACTTTACATCATTACAATGTTTTTACATATTTACTTTACATAGGAATTACGGTGCTCATTCGATTCTCACAGAAGCTCACCTAAACACTGAGCGCACCTTTAAAATTATTTTATTAATTCCAAAAATATTTCAAAACAAATACACATCATTGTTATACAAGTAAAAACTGCATGTATTTGAGAATGAGACAAGAATACTGAAAATGGCTGACTTCTCTGATAACCAAAATTGGTTTATTTTTATTATTGAACACCACGAAGATATTGACAGCATTGAGCAAAGCATCAAATTTAAAGACCATAATACCACGTTCAAATTTGACAAAATTAACTTCCTCCCTAAGTAAGTCAGTCAATTAGCTTACTAAAAAATGTGTTAGTACATAATACGTGTTCATCAAGTCAATTTTCATTTTTTTTATAGCAAAAGAATACCTTAAAGAGGTAAAGTATTAGCCGAAGACGTACGAACCAAAGGCGGTCGCTTAATTTTCAGTACTCTTCAAGCGATAGAACTGTACGAGTGCTAACCGGTAGTAAAGTCAAGTCAGCCGATTCCGAACCCGAACAATCCGTTTATCGAACACTACCAGTGACTAAAAGCTTCCGAAACGATCATTGAACTTACCGAAAAGTTCAATAACAAAGCGGGCAAAACGCCTAGGAAATTTGCGGAAAAAGAAAAACATAAAAAAACTGCCATGAACAATAAGATTACGTTGGAAGGCCAACGGTTGTACTACGATATTTGAGATATATTTGTGCAAACAATAGGCGTTCAAAACAAACACCTGTTTAATTGCTAAATACTGAATGCACCAATTGATTGTATATTCCGTGTGGGCGCTGTAAAAAGTGATAACGCTGATGAGTGTCTAATACACAAGGAAACGAATTACAATAATTAATTTATTAACATACTAATTTCCAAGCAACGTGCTTTCGTTGTGATTGTGATACCGAGTAATTTAAAAAGCATAATTAGCATTTAATTGTGTTTTTTATCAGCAGATGAACGTTTTTATCAAACGTTTATTCTGAACCCGACGACGAGATACAACACTGTTTTAGTTGACGTGGGAAGATTTTTTGCAACGAAATGAAAAAGGATTTTGTGCCAGTTGTCTTGAGAATTCTACGAATTGAGTGTTTGCCCGTAAACCATTTTCGAGTACTCAACTACGATGCACAAGTAATACTTACCTAGTTATTTAGATTTTCACATATGG